GATCAGAGTTCTGCATGCTCTGACATTTATCAGTATTTGAGGGGGGGGAGGGAGTGGGGAGAGGGCCTGGAGAAGGCCCCAGGAATTATTTTAATGTATCAAACACAAGTACTGCATTGGCTGTCTCACTAGAGCAGCCTGGGCTGACTGGTCAGCTCCTCCGTGGGGAGGGCAGGGCTGCTGGGCCAGGTGAGGGGTGCTCATCTCTCCCTTTCAGGTTGAACTTTGGTTTATTTTCTTTTTCCCCTGGGTCCAAACAAAATATTATAAATAAAAGCACAGTGTCAGGATGGAGTGTTTGGTTTTTTGGTTTTTTTTTTTCAGGGAGTGATTTGATTCCTTGGAAGCAATAAGGATGGGAGGTAGCTCAATGCTGCCACAGCTCTGCTCAAGCTCTTGTCCTGTGGAGAGAGGCCTGCAAAGACAGGAGGGTCATACAAGTGTCTGTCTGTCCCTCTGTTTCTCACATAACACATGTTGAATAAAATGGCTTTAAACCCTCGCCTCCATAATCAGCTCCAGGTCCTCCTGCCATGTGCCAGTCCCTGGAGTGGCTCATTTAGGGCTGAGGTTTGGTAAGAGCTGGGCACAGAGATAAACCTGCACCCACCTTGTCACCCCTGTGGGCCTCTCAGGTACTTCATGGTCTTCTCAGCTGGCCAAATATCCAGAAAGTGGGAAAAATGTGCCTCATGGCAATGCCCCAATGCTGGAGTGAGGTGGGATGGTTGTGGGGCTTCCTACTTCCTCGTCAGGATCCCAACTGGGTTGTGCTGGTGAGTCCAGCTACCAGGGCTGGGTTTGTGCTTTGGGATAGCTGGGAGGGAGAGTATGGCAAGAGGAGACTGTGCCTTCCCTGTGGGACATTGCTGTGAGTTTGCTTTTCCCCAGACAAGATTTACAGCCTTGGGGGAAGCATAGGAAATCTCCGTTGCTGTGACAGGAAGCCACTTGCAATCAAGTCCTTTCTGCAGCACATCCAGCCTCAGGAAAGGAAATGGGAATGTTCCTTTCACTGAGGACTGGCTGGGCAGGAGGCACGTGAGGGTTTTGGCCCCTCACAGTGTCTGTGGCTCCTGCCAGCGCTGACAAAGTCACTGCACTGGCTCCAGCACCGCCACTGCACCACACACGGCACAGGTCAGGCTCCATGGTGGGGAAAATGGCTTGGACAGTTATTTTCCATTAATATTATGCCAGGGCCTACAATGGTTTCTGCTCCCCTTCCCCCTGCCCAGGGCACCCCCAGGCTGGCAGTGCCGGGGCTCATCACAGCCCGTAGCTTTTCCATCCAGGTAGCAAAGACCCAACCCCAGTACTGGGGTCACACTGGCTCTATGCTGGTGGCATCAAGGCTGGGGACAACCGAGGCCACCACTGTGCAGTGCCATAATGCACAGCCACTGCCTGGCTTGATGGACACGCTGGGTAGTAAAAAAACTCTTGTTAAAGCCGGGATGGAAAGCAGCAGCCACGGTGCCGGTGCTTTCAGAGAGCACATTTGGGGCCCAAGCGCTCAGCCCTGGAGATGTTTATAGCACTTTAGGTCTGTTTGTGAGGTTGGAGCCTTTCCAAAAAAAAAAAAAAAAAAGAAAGCAGGGGTGGGGGGGAGGAGAGAAAGACATATATTATTGTTTATAATCTGCTTTATTCAGCCAAACCTTTCCCCAGCAGCCTTGCGGATTGCTGTTTAAATCCCTTGGTGCCTTTAACTACCGATACAGAAAGTGGTTAATGTGCATTCGCCCTAAGCTTGGCATCTACTCCAGGAAATCACTTTAATTGAGAAGCATTAAATGTTAAAATGATTAAAATATAGAAAGCCAACACACCGGTGCCCACGGAGGGGCTTGGACCCCCCCATCCCACCTGGCACGGCTCTTCCATCTCACCTGTGCTGGGCGGGTGCTGCAGTGGCACAGCCAGGTGCCCACTGCCACTGCTGCAGGGTGCCAGGAAAGCTGTGGCGCCTCAGGGTGCTGTATGGCACCGATGGAGATGCCCACCCCAAACCCACCCACCTCTCTAAAAAGCCAGGGCACCATGACCAATGTCACCTGTTCCATACAGGAATGCCAGCTTCCTGGACAGGACGCCAGCAATCCTGATCCCAAACAGCCAGGGGTGCCAGAGCAGGCAGTGCTGGTGGTGACCACGGCCCTCCCACTGAGGAAGAAAATCCCAAAGACAGCAGCTGCTAAAGAGCATCCCGAGTTTATTTGCCATCGCTTTCCCTCGCGGCGGAGGGGGTGACTGTACACATCTCATGCCAATGCACCGGAGGCAGGGAACAAAAGCAACGCCCTGGGCCCGAATTCAGGGGCACTGGGCAGGATCATTTCTCCCCAAGACATGGCAATAAATAAGGTTTTATTCTTTGAAATTTTTTTTATTATTATTATTATTATTATTTTTGTCGGGGTTTTGTTTTTTCTTTTTTTTTTCCTTTTTTTTCCCCCCCAGGAAACAAGACTCTCACTTTCTGGAACTGTACAAAATTTACACAGCGAGGGGAGGAGGAGACATTTGGCCTTGTCGAAGGGGGATGGAGAGCAGCGGGCACGGCTCTCCCCCGTCCCCCTCCCCACCAGTGCCAGCAAGGCCGGGGGCTTGGCACGAAGCAGCACCCAAGGCTGGGGAGGGGGGAGGCACGTGGATGCAGCTGGGGCAGCTCCTGCAGCACCAATGCACCCAGCTGGGGGGGCAAGGAGGGACAGGGACAGACCAGTGATGTGCTTTCTTGTGTGGCTTTTTTTTTTTCATTTTTATTCTTTTTTCCCCTTTGCTTTCAGAGCTCCCAAGGCCCCTGGCAGCAGCCAGCTGAGGGGATCCACCCCCAGCCCTCCCTGATGGATGGCAGTCTGGGATCATCAGCATCACCCCAGAGCCAGAGGGGATGGCAGGGACCCGGGGGCTGGGGCATCCCTGTGGGGTTGGGACAGAGCTGGGCACCCCAGGCAGAGAGTGTGGAGCTGGATTTTATCCATGGGGCTGAATGTGTGAGGGTAGGGGGTGCGGACTGTGCTGGGGGAGAGAGGCACGTGGGTTTTGAGCAAGGGGCTGGTGCTGGGTGGGCCCAGCCAGGAGCAGACCCCATGGGGCTTGCAGGATGTGCCAAAGCCACCTGAATCCTCCCTGGATGCCTCCACCCACGCTTGGTGCCATCAGCCCCACGGCACCAAAGGACATCGGTGGCCTATACCAGGGACATCTCACACCCCAATCCCCTCCACTCCCCACCACACAGCTGCTTCTGCAGCTGACAAAATACCCTTTTTCCCCCTTTTGGGGGGAATTTTTTGCAATACCCTCAGAGCAAACATTGCCCACCTCTCCCACCCACCCTTCCAGCAGCTGCTTTCCAGGTGCCAGCCCCAAGCATCCCTGCTGGCTCCACCACAGCCCAGCTTGGCCAGTGGGCATCCCGAGCCAGAGGCATTGTTTTTTAATTCCTCCCCATCGCGTGACCATGGTGAAACCGCAGTGATGCTCCATAAACACTCCTGTGTGCCCAGGGATAAATCATAGCCCCGCGGCCACCAGGCCAGGAGCAGGCAGGATCTTCCCCGGCAGCATCGCCCCGGGCAGCAGGACAATGGCCCCACTCGGACACGTCCCCGGCAAAATAAACCCTTCTACAATATAGATTTCTCTTTCTGCTGAGGCTCCGGGCAGCGCCGAGTTGCATTTCAGCTCCGTATCGAAAAATAACTCTTGAAAATAGCAGCGGTGCTCGGCAGGGGGGTGCGGGAACTGCGGGGCTGGTGCGGGTGCCGGGACGGACTCTGCCATCCCTGATTGTCCTTCTTTCCCTCCCGCTGTCCCACACTACGGCCGTGCCCCAGCCCTGCGCCGGGTCCTCGCCGTGCATCCCGTGCGCCGACATCTCTCTTGTGCTTACACCCGAAGGCATCCGTGCCCCCCCGCCCCGAGCACAGACGCCCCTACCCACCGCCAGTGCTGCCCGCCCCTCCCTGCAGCCCTCCGGGACCAATTCCCATGGGAAATCCTGGAAAGGTCAACCGCCGGCGGGTGCCCTCAGTGCTGCGCTTGCGGGCTGGGGGGGGGAGCGAGGGGGCCGGGGCGGGGGGCGAGCAGCGCTTAGAAAGGGGGGTGATCCATGTCGTCCAGCCAGGAGGCCGGGCTGGTGGGAAAGTCTGGGTACCCGACGCTGCTGCCCGTGGAGATGTCGGAGGTGGGGCCCCCCCCCCGGCCATGGCCCGCAGCGTCTGACTCACCCCCTGCGCCCCGTGGGCCACCAGCCCCAGGCTGCCGTCCATGGCGTAGTCCAGCCCGTTCAGCAAGGGCGGGTGGGACGGCAGGGAGGAGATGGAGGACGGCGACTGGGGGGGCCGTAGGGACTCCCGTCCCGCAAGTCCTGGTACGACTGTCCCGTCCCCTCCATGGAGAAGCCGCCGTTCAGCAACTGTCCGCCCGCCACGTCCCCCACGGTGCCGTAAACCCTGTTGTTGTGGCCCAGCTCGGAGAGGATCTGGTCTTCTGCCGGGGAGAGGAGGGAGAGCAGAAGCGGGGGGTCAGCGCAGGGGGCGGCCCCGCGGCCCCCCCGGCCCCGCGCGGGCGCCCCGCTCACCGCGGAAGCTGAGCTCGCTGTCGCTGACTCCGCAGTCCTCGGCCGAGCTCTCCTTCTCCAGCTTCCCACCCCCGCGGCTCCGCTTCACGCTCTTGTAGAACTGCCCCCAGCGGTGCCGCCCCGCGTCCTTCTTCAGCCGCTTCTCCTTGGCCCGGCGGTTCTGGAACCACACCTGGGGCGGGAAATGGGGACATCGATGGCACCGCGGCACCCTGGCACTGCTGCATGCCAGCGCTCCTGCATCCAACACCCATGGAACCGCTACATCCCAGCATGCCAGCACCTCCGCTACCCAGCACCCCTGCAACCTCACATGCCAACACCCTGCAATCCAGCACTCCTGCACCCCAGCATCCCTGCAACCCAGTATGCCAGCTGGGGTAGGGGGGGGACATGGATCCAACACCAGTGCGCCCAGCTTGGAGGGCAA